AAAAATACAAACCTCGTACTACAGAAGGCAGAAATTTTAGTGTCAGCTCTATATTAACATCCTACAAAGAGATATTACAGTCAAAAGGTTTTTAAGTTATTTAAAATGCTGATGAAATCACTTAAAGTTAGGGTTGCACAGATACCAAGTACAGTACTCGGTTCAAGTACGAGTACAAGTACCAATACTTTTGAGCTCCAAGACTAGACTAGAGAAAAATTCAAAAATTAGGAGGCAGCTGACATGTGTAAGGAGCACACGGAGCTCCCGGGATTTGTACATCTCTGTTTTAATGTATGATTTTGTTTTTATAAATATAAATAAAGGAATGCACAGATACCAGTTTTGCGAGTACGAGTACTGGTACTTGCCGAGTACTTACAAGTACAAGTACTGATACATTTTTGTTTATTGTCATGTGACAGTTTTTCTAAAACAATGCAGACTAATGATTTCAGGACAGTGGTGGAGCGCCAGAGCCCGGTCCCAGCTGCAACCGCTGCAACCCTGGTAGTTCTCATGAAAATGCCAAGTATCTGCACTGGTACTCAAAAAGTATCTGTGCATCCCTACTTAAAGTAGTATGATTTAGGGATGCACCCATATCGGTCTTTCGGTATTGAGTACGAGTACCGATATTTTTATTTCGGTACTCGCCAATACAGAGTACCAATACCGGTACTTCCGGTAGCATGAACCCGGCTTCCTGTGCAATCAAGAAGCCAGGCGGGTAATGACATGCCGCCCGCCTTAAAGGAGAACTATGGGGTCAGGGCTTTTCCCCATAGTTCTCCTTAGGGTAACGGGAGGACACAAACTAGCGTCCTCCCGTTACCCTAAGCTCAGTATATAGGGAGCTACAGCTCGCGGTATACTGAGACGCCGCAGCCGGAGCGGATCCCGACATCGAGATCCGTCCAGCTGCGTGAGTGACAGCTGGCTCTGCCTATCTAGAGGCAGAGCCAGCTGTACCCGCCCCCTCCCCCGTCCGTTCCGCCAGTCAGCGCTGGCGGAGCGGGGAGGGGGGAATCCAGCCCCTCCCCTGTCACGGCAGAGAGCCGTGACAGGATGGAGAGGTGAGCGAACGCCGGTATGTGTTCGCTCACCTCCCGATCTACTGAGCCGACCTGTGACAGTCTCATTGTCACAGGTCGGCTAGAACTATGAGGTGAGTGAAAAGCACTCCTCATAGTTCGCCTTTAACTGATTGCTCGGGAAGCCAGCTTCATGCTGTTTGGCCTGCTGGATGCTGATTGGCCGGGAAGCCGGCTTCCCGGCCAATCAGCATAGATCCGGCCAAGCAGCATGGAGTCAGCTACCTGGCCATTTAGGAAGCCAGGCTGCATGCCATTACCTGCCGCCCGGCTTCTTGATTGCCCAGGAAGCCGGCCCTATGCTAGTGGAAGTACCGGTATCGGTACTCGGTATCAGATGCCGCCCCCCGCTTGTTACGAATTGTTAACCCTATTCATTCACAAAATACAGTAAAATTGTAAATAACCACACAACACTGTATACAAAGTCCTTTATTCGAACCCCCCCCCCCCAAAAAAAGTGTCCATCGATGTAATCCTAACCCTAACCCTAACCCAAGGTCTATCACATCGTCCAGCAATGTAGATCCATGTCAATCACAATGCCGCCTACCCTCCGAAAGAGAAAATACCCAACGCACACCGACACAACTGATCCCGATGATCTCTCGCCGCAAAATGACATCTCTGACCCGAATGTCACCAAAGAGGCGGAGTGACATCACAGGACTTGTCCCGCCCATTTGTTTACATTCAGGAGCAGAGCTGTCAATGATAGCAGCTCTGCTCCCGGGAGTTCCTAATAGCCTTCGGGAGCGTTACTGCCGAATATCACCAAAGGGGTGGAGCGACTTGTTCCGCCCATTTGTTTAGGCTACTATCATTGACAGCTCTGCTCCAGGGAGTTCCTAATAGCATTCGGGAGCTCTACTCCCGAATGTCAACAAAGGGGCATCACGGGACTTGTTCCGCCTCTTTTTGGCATTTGGGAGCTCCGGAGTGCTATTTGGAAGTCCCGAATAGCGTTCAGAAGCAGAGCTCCTATCAGACAGCTCTACTCCAAATGTCAAAAAATGGGCAGAACAAGTCTGTGGACGTTGTCCTTCATGATTGATGTGGATCTACATCGTTGGATGACGTGATTGACGTGTAGATTACAACGATGGACACTTCTGTTGTGTTTAAAAAAAAAATAAAGACTTTGTATACGGCGTTGTGTGTTTTGTTTACAATTGTACTGTTTGGTCAATGAGTAGTGGTAACAACTACCCCTTACAAGGGGGGGGGGGCTGCATCAGATAAGCTCCCCCGCCCGCAGACCCCCACAACCACCAGGCCAGAGTTGTGGGGAAGAGGCCTATGTCCTCATCGACATGGGGACAAGGTGCTCTTCCAGGGAGTCCCCCCTGGCAAACCACCCTCCTCATGCCGAGGGCATGTGACCTGGTATGGTGCAGGAGGGGGGGCTGCATACCCGTCTCACCCTCCTCCCTGCTCTGCCAGGCTGCTGCTCTGATCAAGGGTCTGGTATGGGATTTTAGGGGGGACCCCATGCATTTTAGTTTTTTGGCATTGAGGTCCCCCTTAAAATTCCTACCAGACCTAAAGGGTCTTGTATGAATTGGGGAGGGGGACTCCACTCTGTTTTCCTTTTATTTTAATGTTCAACAACAAAAGTTCATTCCGGATGACATTCGGAAAACATTTCGGATGCATCCGAATTTCGTAATCGGAAAATTTGGATTCGTTCGGATTTGTTATTTCTTTCATTCGGAAATCCAGATGCATCCCAATATCCGAAACTTTGTACGAATTTCTATTTGGAATTAAATGAATCGCACATGTCTATCCTAGACACTATAAATCACTGGACCTTAGACTGCTGGAGCCGAGAGGGAGTGAGACTGTAGGGACTGGTGGTGAAGGAGCATGGCGGGATTATGGTTCGGGTGAGTATATCTTTTTTTATTTTTGTTCCCTAAACAAAATGAGCACTTAACCCTCGGAGTACGGGGGTCTCCCCCACTGCACGGGTTAAGAATGTCTTTTTCCGAAGTTCGTCTTTAAGCAAATTTGCCCAGAGAAGCCACATTTGGCATTGATTACCAGTGGAAACTGCTGGTCTCAGTGGCGGTTGCCGTATTGATAACACAGCCAGCGTTCCATTCACATTATTCATTCTATAGACTACTGATTTACAATATTCCTCATTGAGGTCAGAATTGTTCAGTTATGTGAATTTGCACTTACTTCCTACAGCAGGGGGCGGCGGTATGGTCCTCCTAGAACTTTACTCCAATCACCAGTCAGCTGGCTATACAGACAGATTTCTGGTAATGACACTGGACGCGGTGTCACAAATCAGGGAAATCCAAACTAAGGGCGTGTGATGACAATATCCAGAGGTCCGGAGATACTAGCAGCGGAGATCGTAACATCTCCAAATTACGCCCCTTCCTCACCAATGAAACCGCAAAACTACTCATCCACTCCCTTGTTATCTCTCGTCTTGACATTGCAACTCCCTCCTCATTGGCCTACCTCTACACAGGCTCCTCCCCCCTCTACACAGGATATCCCCCCTTCAGTCTATCATGAATGCTGCCGCTAGACTCATTCACCTGACCAACAGCTCAGTGTCTGCAGCCCCCCTCTGCCAATCCCGGCACTGGCTTCCATCACCCACCCCCCTCTGCCAATCCCTGCAATCCATAAAGACATGGATGGGGGGGTTTGGGGTGGAGGAACTTGACTGGCCGCACAGAGTCCTGACCTCAACCCGATAGAACACCTTTGGGATGAATTAGAGCGGAGACTGTGAGCCCGGCCTTCCCGTCCCACATCAGTACCTGACCTCACAAATGGTCCAACATTCCCATAGACACTCCTAAACCTTGTGGACGCCTTCCCAGAAGAGCAGAAGCTGTTATAGCGGCACAGGGCGGAGCCAACCCAATACTAAACCCTACGGACTAGGACTGGGATGCCATTAAAGTTCATGTGCGTGTAACGGCCGGCGTCCCAATACTTTTGGCGATATAGTGTATTTTGCAGCAGAAGTTGAAAGGGAAAGTGCCGGAGTGAAAACAAAAACAGATAAAGCGCAGACCGGACTGAAGTGATTGTTTTTGCCTGAAGGGCGAGAAGAAAACACAATGTAAACACTCCTGAGGGTACGGCAAGCCTGGACTTGTATGTGCGATCCCGGCGAGATTACCAGCCACCGCTCAGTGCTGTTATGCTTCGATGGCATCTCATTTCACAATGTGTTTATGACACCGGCGCCCACCAAACTGGAAGGACAGAGGCGGCCGGGCGCCGCACTCAAACATCTCATTCACCGGCGAGAAAAACATCATCTGTGTAATGGGTTGTTTTTCCTTCCCGGGACAAAAACAAAACACGGCGTGTTGTTCCTGCTATTATCTTATGTGGTTTAGTCATCGAACTCAACATCCCATCACAAGACACAACAACAAAAAGAGCTCTCATTGTAATCTTCACCTCCAATCCATCCACCTGCAGTACTTTCTTCTGCCACTAGATGGCCAGCATCATTTAACCAGCTTCCCCTGAGCCCAGGTCATCCTGGACCCACCCTCCTGGCACTCGCTGGCATGTCACTGCTCTCACCTGCAGAGCTGGCACTCTCTGACCCGTCACTACTCTCACCTGCAGAGCTGGCACTCTCTGACCTGTCACTGCTCTCACCTGCAAGGATGCCTCTCTCTCCTGGCAACAGCCATTCTACGTCACCCAATGCACCGGCTCCGGCCCCGCGCAGCCAATCAGCACTCTCCCCTTCTTCCGTCCCACCTACCCCCTGCAGTTTTTCTGCATGTGCACCGGCTGTGCCCCCGCCCACCAGAGCTCACCGGGCAGCCTATCAGCGCCAGCTTGTCCTGCCGCTCCGCCCCTCGCTGTATATTGATGAGCCCGGTGAACGGAAGGCCGAGGTGTCGGTGAGGTAGAGAGGAGGCCGGCGGATCGCAGTTCCTCCTTCACGGGATATACACTGTCAGGCGGCCTGAACCCAGCCTCTCTCCGGCTATATAGACCGGACACACCGGGGACACCCGACTCTGAGAGGCAGCTGCCCGCCTGCCCAGGCGGAGGAGCCCAGCATCAGCGACCCGGCGATTCCTGCAGAGTGAGCCCAGGTACCGTGTGTGTCCCTTCCCCCCCCTCCGTCCATCCTTCTGTGAGCCCCGGTACCGTGTGTGTGTCCTCCCCCCTCTCATCAGGGCTGACAGGTGCGGCAAAGGAGCTGACACTCCAATACCTTCCTATACTGACCATCTCTGGACTCACCCACAGTGCTGACACTCCAATACCTTCCTATACTGACCATAATTATACTCACCCACAGAGCTGACACTCCAATCCCTTCCTATACGGACCATCCCTGGACTCGCCCACAGAGCTAACACTCGACACTCCAATCCCTTCCTATACGGACCATCCCTGGACTCGCCCACAGAGCTAACACTCGACACTCCAATCCCTTCCTATACGGACCATCCCTGGACTCGCCCACAGAGCTAACACTCGACACTCCAATCCCTTCCTATACGGACCATCCCTGGACTCGCCCACAGAGCTAACACTCGACACTCCAATCCCTTCCTATACGGACCATCCCTGGACTCGCCCACAGAGCTAACACTCGACACTCCAATCCCTTCCTATACGGACCATCCCTGGACTCGCCCACAGAGCTAACACTCGACACTCCAATCCCTTCCTATACGGACCATCCCTGGACTCGCCCACAGAGCTAACACTCGACACTCCAATCCCTTCCTATACGGACCATCCCTGGACTCGCCCACAGAGCTAACACTCGACACTCCAATCCCTTCCTATACGGACCATCCCTGGACTCGCCCACAGAGCTAACACTCGACACTCCAATCCCTTCCTATACGGACCATCCCTGGACTCGCCCACAGAGCTAACACTCGACACTCCAATCCCTTCCTATACGGACCATCCCTGGACTCGCCCACAGAGCTAACACTCGACACTCCAATCCCTTCCTATACGGACCATCCCTGGACTCGCCCACAGAGCTAACACTCGACACTCCAATCCCTTCCTATACGGACCATCCCTGGACTCGCCCACAGAGCTAACACTCGACACTCCAATCCCTTCCTATACGGACCATCCCTGGACTCGCCCACAGAGCTAACACTCGACACTCCAATCCCTTCCTATACGGACCATCCCTGGACTCGCCCACAGAGCTAACACTCGACACTCCAATCCCTTCCTATACGGACCATCCCTGGACTCGCCCACAGAGCTAACACTCGACACTCCAATCCCTTCCTATACGGACCATCCCTGGACTCGCCCACAGAGCTAACACTCGACACTCCAATCCCTTCCTATACGGACCATCCCTGGACTCGCCCACAGAGCTAACACTCGACACTCCAATCCCTTCCTATACGGACCATCCCTGGACTCGCCCACAGAGCTAACACTCGACACTCCAATCCCTTCCTATACGGACCATCCCTGGACTCGCCCACAGAGCTAACACTCGACACTCCAATCCCTTCCTATACGGACCATCCCTGGACTCGCCCACAGAGCTAACACTCGACACTCCAATCCCTTCCTATACGGACCATCCCTGGACTCGCCCACAGAGCTAACACTCGACACTCCAATCCCTTCCTATACGGACCATCCCTGGACTCGCCCACAGAGCTAACACTCGACACTCCAATCCCTTCCTATACGGACCATCCCTGGACTCGCCCACAGAGCTAACACTCGACACTCCAATCCCTTCCTATACGGACCATCCCTGGACTCGCCCACAGAGCTAACACTCGACACTCCAATCCCTTCCTATACGGACCATCCCTGGACTCGCCCACAGAGCTAACACTCGACACTCCAATCCCTTCCTATACGGACCATCCCTGGACTCGCCCACAGAGCTAACACTCGACACTCCAATCCCTTCCTATACGGACCATCCCTGGACTCGCCCACAGAGCTAACACTCGACACTCCAATCCCTTCCTATACGGACCATCCCTGGACTCGCCCACAGAGCTAACACTCGACACTCCAATCCCTTCCTATACGGACCATCCCTGGACTCGCCCACAGAGCTAACACTCGACACTCCAATCCCTTCCTATACGGACCATCCCTGGACTCGCCCACAGAGCTAACACTCGACACTCCAATCCCTTCCTATACGGACCATCCCTGGACTCGCCCACAGAGCTAACACTCGACACTCCAATCCCTTCCTATACGGACCATCCCTGGACTCGCCCACAGAGCTAACACTCGACACTCCAATCCCTTCCTATACGGACCATCCCTGGACTCGCCCACAGAGCTAACACTCGACACTCCAATCCCTTCCTATACGGACCATCCCTGGACTCGCCCACAGAGCTAACACTCGACACTCCAATCCCTTCCTATACGGACCATCCCTGGACTCGCCCACAGAGCTAACACTCGACACTCCAATCCCTTCCTATACGGACCATCCCTGGACTCGCCCACAGAGCTAACACTCGACACTCCAATCCCTTCCTATACGGACCATCCCTGGACTCGCCCACAGAGCTAACACTCGACACTCCAATCCCTTCCTATACGGACCATCCCTGGACTCGCCCACAGAGCTAACACTCGACACTCCAATCCCTTCCTATACTGACCATCCCTGGACTCACCCACAGAGCTGACACTTTGGCTGGCCATTGGGCCCCCTCGGCAGAGCTGATGTTCTATGATACTTCTCTGGTGTCACCCCAGAGCTCACACTCTATGCCCCCCCCCTACAGAGCTGACTCACTATGACCCATGAGTGCTGTTCCCCAGAGCTGACACTCTATTCCCTGTCAGTGAGCGGACACTTTCATCCTCTGTACTTGTGAATACTCTGGTCCCTGAAGCTGACACTCTGTTGCTGGTCATGTAATTCGCCCAGTGTATGAGCTGCTATACTCTTTGTATTTGCCCAAAGAGCTGACACTCTATTACTCATCTGTGCGGTCAGCTGTCACAAGAGGTGACGCTCTAATGCCTAACCCTGCGGTCTCAGGAGCTGACCCTGCTACCAGGTCTGCCGTGTCCTCGGAGCTAACAGTCCATTGACGTGCCTGTGCTGTCCACTGGTCCAGTGCTGATCTGGTAATCGCCCCCCCCCCCCTCATCTGCCGGATTCACCAGCAGAGCTGACACTCTATTCCTGTCACAGCACTCTCAGACATTCTGGTCCTGGTGACTGTATCCAATGAGCTGACTTGTCAACAGACTAACCCACAGAGCTGACACTCCAATCCCATCACCACAGAGGTGACCTGTCACCAGACCCGCCCACAGAGCTGACCCTCCAATCCCTTCCCCCTACGGCCCATCACCCCAAAGCTGACACTCTAATCTCTTCTACTGCCCATCACCACAGGGCTGTCAGTGACTCTCCTGCAGAGCTGACACTTCAATCCAAACGCCTACTGCTCATTACCACAGAGCTGTCGCCAGACTTGCCCACAGGGCTGACACTCCGATCCCTTCTTATACTGCCCATCTCTACTATCACCAGACTCGCCCACAGAGCTAACACTCTAATCACTTCTCGTACTGCCCATCATCCCAGAGCTGGTGCTGTAATCCCTTCTCCTAGTGCCCTGCGCCACAGAATAGTCCCCAGACTCTCCTGCAGAGCTGACACTTCAATCCAGTCCCCCTACTGCCCATCACCACAGAGCTGACACTCTAATCCCTTCTCCTAGTGCCCATCACCACAGAGCTGTCCACAGACTCACCTGCAGAGCTGACACTTCAATCCAGTACCCCTACTGCCCATCACCACAGAGCTGACACTGACCTGTCACCCGACTTGCCCACAGAGCTAACGTTCTAATGACAGATCTGTGCTCGTGGGCAGTAGAGGAAGTGATTGGAGTGTCAGCTCTTTGGGAAAGTCTGGTGACAGGTCATTTGATGAACAGTCACAAGTATTGGAGTGCCTGCAATTGCTGTGACAGACATAGAATGTCAGCTCTGTGGGCCAGTTTGGTGATGGGCGGTAAGGGGGTTGGATTGAATGGTCAGCTCTGCAGCCGAGTCTAATGACAGCTCTGCAGCAATGGGCAGTAGAGGAAGTGGTTAGATACGGGGGTAGCCACACTGCGGCCCTCCAGCTGTGGTGAAACTACAAATCCCATGATGCATCTCTCTCCGAGAGTCATGTCTGGCTGTGAGAATCTTGCAATGACTCATGGGATGTGTAGTTCCACCGCAGCTGGAGGGCCTGAGTTTGTCTACCCCTGGATTAGACTCTCCTGCAGAGCTGACACTTCAATCCAGTCCCCTTACTGCTCATCACCGCAGGGCTGACCTATCACCAGACTTGCCCACAGGGCTGACATTCTATTCCTGTCACAGCACTCGCAGACATTCCAATCCTGGTGACTGTATCAAATGCCTTGTCAGCAGACTTGCCCAAAGAGCTAACGCTCTGATCCCCTCTCCTACTGCCCATCACCACAGAGCGGTCATTAGACTCTCCTGCAGAGCTGACACTTCAATCCGATCCCCTACTGCCCATATTTTAGAACTGACCTGTCACCAGACTTGCCTACAGAGCTGACACTCCATCCCTTCCTCTGCTGCCCATCACCTCACAGCTGACCTGTCACCAGACTCGCCCACAGAGCTGACACTCCAATCCCTTCCTCTGCTACCCATCACCTCACAGCTGACCTGTCACCAGACTCGCCCACAGAGCTGACACTCCAATCCCTTCCTCTACTACCCATCACCTCAGAGCTGACCTGTCACCGGACTCACCCACAGAGCTGACCTGTCACCAGACTCACCCACAGAGCTGACACTTTAATCCTTTCCTCTGCTACCCATCACCTCAGAGCTGACCTGTCACCAGACTCGCCCGCAGAGCTGACACTTTAATCCCTTCTTCTGCTACCCATCACCTCAGAACTGACCTGTCTCCAGACTCACCCACAGAGCTGACACTCCAATCCCTTCCTCTGCTACCCATCACCTCACAGCTGACCTGTCACCAGACTCGCCCACAGAGCTGACACTTCAATCCCATGACCCGTCACTGGTCTGCCCCGCAGATCTGACGCTCCATTGTGACGGCCAACAG